CCCTCTTGTGCCTCAGTGTTTGGTTGGAAGTGATTTGTGTGTACCCCTAATTATGCCCGGGCTGTTGACGAGGGCTGTGTGTGTCTCTGCTCTAGCCACACCTATTTGGAAAACCCAGGTAGAAAGCAAGGAGGGTTGACAAGATCCGCGTGCCTCAACAGGCTGTGAGTGTGTGAGTGAGTGAGTGAGTGAGTGAGCATAAGCGAACCTGGGAGCAGCGTGTGTAACAGCTCAAAGTCATAAACAGCCACAACTTGATCAGGCAGCTAGCCATTTTCACGCTAGTGTTCAGAGGCATATCAGCCCTGGATCCCCCCTCCTCCTCCCAAGAAGATGTCAGGGATGAGACTGTGGCACCTTGGATTTCTCTTCCTCTTGTTTGGAAGTTTGGCTTGGGGAGGGGAAGCTGAAGGCCATCCCATGTCTTCTACAACTGGAGACTACAGCTCCAGTTCCTGATTCTGATCTGCAGCTTTTGGGTCTTACACAGCATTACACACCGTTGAGTGGAGGAACAGAGGACTGAATGATGCAGGAGGTTCAGGTTTTGGCCTCCCCAGGAAAAGGAGCCTACTTAGGAGTCAGTACTAAGCGTTGGCTGATTTTAAGAAGGAACTTTAATAGTCCTTTATAGAATAATGGATTCAGGCATTGCCAGAGACAGTTTGTGCTTTAGCGTGCCTTGTGTTCTGCACACAGGATCGAAACTAGATTCTCACCCGCATCCTGGCAATGCTTCTAGCTCAACCTATCAAGCAGTTCACAACCAAGACAGCTAGATTCTCACCATCTGGATTTGACCTTGGAAGCTGGATATATATATATGTACTTTAGCTCCCATTTATTATTCAGCATATTAAGACAGAGCTTCTTTGATGCCCTTGATTCTTTTCCTAAGAGTTTCTTGACTGGGAGGGCGAGGAGGCTGTTCTCTGTTTCACAGATACAAAAGGAACGTCCATCTGTTCTTGTTCCACAGTATCTGAAAGTGTCCATTCCCCAGATAATTCCATTATAAGCTCCTTTTGATAATATATTGTGCTTCTTGACTTTTGCAGATGATCTTTCTACTAATGTTCGGTAATTGTATTAAACCTGCCCGAGAGCAACCCAATACCCAGCCAAAATCAAAACTAAGAGATCTGGATTCAAGTTCCATTTCAGATACGGACCCTTCCCATAATCGGAGAAAGCAGCAAGTTGAACTCTCAGTCACTGGAAACAGGAAGCGACAATGATTTACCTTGCAGGATTAGTGAGAGCACCCCCCCCCCAAATAATCTCAAAAAGGATGAATAACAGTAGCCAAATACCCACTGAGCTTCAGAGAGAAAGAACCTAAGGGGTACTAAATAACAAATTCTGGCCATCTCCAGACCCAGCTGTCACTCTTCAGTAAAAACTGGCAAATGAAACTTGATGCTGCGGGGAGGGCGAGGGGGGGGGCGGAAGGGAGGCAGAAGCAGCCCAAGGCCATCTGTCACTCCTGCCTGATGACTGTCATCTTCAAACCCACTGCATTAGGACCTGTGATTTTACAAAGAGCAGCTGTTGCTCCAGACCGATTGGCAGAGTGCAGGGTGGAGGTAAAACATGACTTGCCAAGTCTTTAGCCCCGGATTTGGACAGCAGCGACCCAAGATTCTGGGGCACAGTTTGAAATTGAGTTCATAAAAGCCAAGAGCTGTCCTGTTTGGCCAAGGAAAGGACTCGGAATCATGACGTCCTTGCAGACTTTTTATGTTCTTCCCATTCGGCCCAGGTCACCAGTCATTCTCCAGGTATTCCTGGTGCAGTGAGGAAGACTTTGGGTCCCCCTTCATGGCCACTCCTTAGCAGAAGGCCTCCAAAGATGAAGGGTGGCTGGGTTTCAGTCCTCATGAAAACATTTCATGGCAGAGTTGAAATCTGTCTCACTACACAACTGTCCTACCTTCAGATGTGGCATCCAGCAAAGCTTACCTGTGCTCAATAGATTATACTTTTGGGCAATAGATAGTCTTTGATAGAACCAGAGAGATTTAGGGGTTAATGGAGGGTGCAAAGTATCTTGAATTTGAAACATCTGGTCTTAAGCCTAAAAGAGTTATTTTGAGTGCATTGGTAACATCAGTACCGTCCTGAGTTTCAAATCCAGGAGTTTCAGATTCAAAAAATGTTTTCTCTCAAGTTCAAGATGGGCAGCCCCAATTAGCTCTATTTCTATCACAAACCACTTCCAAATGCATCAAATGATCCTGTTTCAAATTGCAAAGATATTTTTTGCAGCTGAAGCAACTGTCTTGAGGTCAAAACAAGGTGGTTTTGGATGTCAAACAATTCAGACTTGACCTGTTTTGCATATCACTGGTCTAAACTCAACCACTGGATGTCTTTGGGCCAAGCATTTTTTTGTCACACCAACTTACCTCACACAACTGTTGTTGTTGTTGTTGTGAGAACAAAATAACAGCTGGCCCCACGCTCACCACCTTAAGCTCATTAAAGTAAAAGCTTGATGAAAGTGAAATAAATAAAAATAAAGTTCTATTCATCTCCCTTCCTCAGTGAGTTTAAAATGCTAGCTCAGTTGGGCTTTTTGGATCCAACCTCTTTTTCTGCTGTTTTATCTCGGTTGCTCTGTTTGTTTCTTTTTAAAAATGCCTGCAGGCCAGTTTGACAACTAAGCTCAGTAGCATTTTTTTTTTAAAAAAAAACTAAATAAATCCCCTGCTTTTGCTTGACTGGAGAGTTCGTTCTCCCCATCAAGGTCCCTGAGATCAATGAGACAGTGGGGATGAGTTGTCCAAAAATTATTTGTTGAACTCAGCAACCTCAGACTCCTCCAAGAGATATATCACCTTGGGCAGGGAAGAAGGAATGGAAAAGTTGTAGCTAAAGAGCAACGGGTCCAGGAAATGGAAGACAAACATTTATCACAAGGCCAGCCTTGGGCAGAAGGGGCGGGTCAAAATCTGCAACATGGCAGAGATGGGATCTCAATCAAAACTCCATCCCTTCGGCATGTGTGTTTGATCATGATGGTACACCTGCTCTTTGCAGATTTTGACACCCTTCCCTGTCCCCCCCCCCCCACTGGACTTTCCTGCTGGACAGTGATTTCTTATCGTCAGTGCTTGCCAACTAGCTATGTTGGCGTTGTGAACGTTTAACCTCTTTCCTGCTTAAAGGGGTGCCAGTGGATCTCACAGAGATGACTACTGATGCCATCTCTCATGTGGAACAAGCCGTGAGACACCTATTTCGAACACTTGAGAGTTTATATCTGGTGGCATTTCCTGAATAACAAGTTTTCCCACAAATTGACTGAATGATTCCTGCTGTGAGAAATCATGAAGAGGCTGAGAAAGGAACAGAAGGGAGATTGAACATAAACAATCAAAAGACAGAAGGAGAGTCCATCGACAGCCTACCTCATAAGCAGCAACTCAACCCAGGTGGGAAGAAACATTTCAGATCATTGAAAGAGACTCCACCTTAATGTTCTCACTATAAATGAGGGCTGGAAAGTCCTCTTGCAGTTTCCAAGATGCTGTGTTTACCCCAAAACTAGCATTAGACATACCTTTCTGAAGTCTGTCATTCATGTTTCCTCAATCTTGCTGGGCTGTGTGGGGGTTGAGATGAATACCCAAACTAGTCACATCCATCTGCCATTGTGCTGGATTTTTCCCAGGCCATTATCTGGTTTTCTGAAGTCAGTGAATAAATACGGCTCCCTTACCTGAACATTCTGGATTGTAACACTCCCTGGCATCAGCGTGAGCTCCTTTGCACTCTGCCAAGCCATGAGCCAAGACACTGCACTTGCGGGTCCGCTGCTGAGTACCGTTGGAGCATGACACAGAGCACCGGCTCCAGGATCCCCAGTCCAGCCACTGGCCTTCCACTGTCACAAAGAAGCACAAGGAAAAGCCTTTAATGAAGAATGGAGGAGGGGTGGAAATTCAACATGCTCCTCTTTCAGTTCAAACCACCGTCATCTCCATCCTATCTACTTCCCAAGGCAGGAATCCCTCAAGCTTAATTTAAGCAGACCCCGAATGAACAAGAAGATGGACCAGATGACCAACTGTCTGGTTCTACAAAGTATCTCCCTTCAAAGAAGAACCCAGCGATGCCACTCAGCAGGATCCTACAAACAGCCACACTGTGCACCATGAGAAGGAAGAGGGAGAAAAGAAGGCAGGCAAACCCAACAGCCAAAATAATGTAAACCAGCTTTCTCAACCCATGGTACACTGTAGCCCTGGAGGTACACAGTAGTAGTTTAGGACATAGCTTCCTTCTCCAAATAGGAAAGGGGGAGAGAGATGGAAATGAGGAGGGCAGAGCTACCAATCTCCAAACAAGCATGCCAAGACAAGGAGAACAGAGCACCTCAACAGTATGTTTATGGGAGTCCAGGACTGGAGCAGTCTCTGAAATGTTTGAGCACGTCAACCGAGCCCAAGAACAACAGGGAAACGATCCATCCAAGTTCTGTTCCATTATTGCTTATACCATATAGACAGAATCTTGCCAAACTAAATCCGTACTACTCTAACCTTGTGGATATATACCCTGGGAGGTTCTAGGGAGTGGCTATCCTGAACCTCTTCCTCTTCCCACGCTCCTGCTCCGGACTGTGTGGTCTCTGGTCTCTCCCCACTTCCTGGAATGTCCCTCCTTCCTGAGAACCTGCTTCTCCGCTGCTTTCCATCACATCGCCTCCCCCTTCGTAGACACTTTCCATCACAGAGCATAGGAGCTAAGGTAAAATAAAAAAGGTTTTAAAATAGCTAACTCTCATTGTTTGGATATATTTTTTTGGTTTGGGCCTAAGGGAAAACAGCTGTTGTGGTAGCAAGTTCTGCTTCAGTTCTCACTCACTGTGTTTTATTGTATTTTTTAATACTTCAACTTACTGTAACGGATAAGTTTAACAACAGTGTATCTATAAACATGTTCTTCTTGGGAGGACATTTTTCTGGGGGGGGGGTGTCTTTCCTGGGACAAGTTTTTAAGACAAGTGCTTGATGAGATTTAAGATGTAAAAGACTGATAATGACTGGTGTGGATGAAATTAGGGTGCTTGCTTAGCCTTCAAAAGTGGAAGCATCCGTTGTATAAAATGAGCAGCTGATTGTGAGAGATTACAGGGAGGCTGGAAAGGAACGTAAGAGAGAATAGCGGATGAATCAGTTGACAGCTTATCTCGTAAATGACAACGCAGCCCAAGTGGGGAGAAATCTGCCCAGAAGCATTTCAAAGTATTCCAAGAATCTCCACCTTAATGATACTCACTATAAAGGAGGCTGGGGGATTCCTTAGAATCCAGTTTCTAAGATTCTGTTATTTATCCCAGACAAGCAATAAAGCTACTTCGCATCAATCTGTGTAATTCTTGCTTCCTTGATTTTGCCCAGCTGTGTGGGGTAGCTGGGCAAATTGATACCTAAGTGACAACAGCATGCTCCTATGCCTCTCCTTGCCACACCCTGCCATAGTCCAAGGCAACAGCATTGAGCATGTCCTCACTGCCATGTCCTATCAACAGCATCCAATGGTGTGAGACAGGGAAACCCCAAAGTATCACAAGATTGGGGCATGAGTACATTGCTGCGGAACAAGGATCCAGCAGTGAGACCATGGGGTCAAATTCAATATCCTCTTTGGCCCCTCCACAGGTGAAAAGGTGTGGAACTATAAGCTGCTGTGGGACAGCAGATCTATCTGCAGGAGAATTGCAGGATAAGGAGCTGCGACGGTTAACTGTATGGCTGCTGTTTTTGCTGGCAGAAGCAGCAAATTTAACGGAACAAGTTGTTCCAGAGGAAGCTAGCAACAAAGCACAAGCTGACATTTCAGTTCATGGTCCAGAGCTATACAGGGACTCTCCCAAGTCTCTACTTAAGCCTCCATGAGTGGTACCTAAAAACCCTAACAAGGACAAAGCAGAAAAGCATGCCTTTAAGCCTTCTGATGGTAGGAAAGTATCTGAAAAGGAGGAGAGTCTGGGAGAGGCTTTGAAACTGAGGAAGAAGTCTTGAAAAGACTCCTGGCTTCCAGGGAGTTGGTCTTTTAAGCCTGTTATGACCAGTTCTAGGCTGGGCCTCCCTTGCTTGTATAGTCCTCCAATCTGTTGTCTTCAAAAGCCATTATTTCTCTTGGGCTTCCTCAATTCTCCCTTTCCCCGTGTTATCTGGAAAGAGGGAGAGAAAAGCAGAAGAAAAAGCGTGGTAGAACTGGGGAACATCTTTTGCAACCCAGAACTACGAGATAAATTAGGGCCCTGGAAAGCACCATCATCATAACTATCCCCATCCCCATCCCCATCCCCATCCCCATCCCCATCCCCATCCCCATCACCATCACCATCACCATCACCATCACCATCACCATCACCATCATCATTAATAAGTGGGAATGGGCATCTTAGAGAAGTTGCCCTCAGTATATTGGTGACCTATGATTGTTAGATTTGGCCTCAGTGTTCCAGACCCAAACAGCAATAATCCAAACCATTCTGCTCTCCCATTCTAGCCCTCTTCATCTATTGATGGATTCCTTCTCATCAACACTGTCCCGCTTTGAGGGTTCCATGTGAAACATGGAGTGATCACTTTTCCCCCAGTAAGACTGCATTTCCTTCTTTATTTTATAAATATAAAGCTATCCAGTGAGGACCTTGAGTCATGCTCAACCTAGATATAAATGAGAGATGGTGAATTTGGTGAAGAAGTGGGCTATATGTCAACATTATGGCTGATGAAAGCCAACCAGACTAAGAAAGAGGAAAAGTAAACCCAGGGAACAACAACAGCAGGGCCAACAACATCTGGTCTGATTGTAAGGACATAATTCCTTTGACTGGTTTCCCTGCCTATCTCATTTTGCCTCTCATCCCTCAAGTGCCAGGGAGTTTCCTTAATCTGGACTCTTCAGGGGCTTTGTACTTGCCTCTGCCAGTTCTTAAAAAAAAAAAAAATGTTGACTCTTGGTGATGTCATGGACACAACCATAACTTTTTCAGCAATAGTGTGGAAGTGACTGGTACTGCCTTCTTCCAATATTTTTTTTCTTCTCTGTTTAGCCTAAAACTTTAATACCACTCTGCTCATCCTCAAGACCCTGCTTAGCTTCTGAATTCAGAGAAGGTGGATAAGGTTCTGCCAGCTGTTGAGACCACCTGTCCTTAGCTAGGTAAACATTCACATTTGGTGGCAAGACCCGATCTTCCCATTAGCCAGAGACCTGGAATACTCTTGGAGCCCCAAATCCAAAGCAGGTCTAAAATCAGTAGCTAAGAAAGCAGTCTTTCCAGTAGGCCACATGGTATCACTTGGCCTCCCTTAGCAACCTGACCACTCAAAAGAAATGGCTGTGAGCTGCGTGTAGCCAAAGGAGTTGATGCATCTTGCACAAGCCTGGCCTGCAGTCTTCCTTTGAATAGCACCCAGTACCCAAAGGACAAGGTCAACGTTGACAACAATAGGGGAGAAGTAAAGCTCTGGATAGTTGCTATGAAGCAGTTTTCAGCAGCTGGTGAGGATGGTGGCCTCTCCTCCTTGAAGCTGTGCAAAAGCTGCTGTCTGCCATAGTCTGCTTCTGCTACTAGAGGTAGGAACCAATAAAAATGCCTCATTAAATCATAATGAGGCCTTTGAGGTGATTTGGTCCAGCCCCCTGCTCATTGCAGGATCTTCAATGAAGGATGAAACTGCAGCATTGCTGGCAGGTGGTTGTCCATCTCGTAGCCCTGCCAACTCTCGAGGCAGGCTGTTTCACTGCTGAACAGTTCCTATGGCTGGGAAGCTTCTCTTAATATTTAGCCCAAATCTGCATGTCTGACATCCCCACTCAAAAAATAATGTTGCTCCATCTTCTGCCTGGAGGAGGTCTTCCCTGAACTTTCACTTTTCCAGGTTTAAAATATTTGGTTCCTTCAAACATTTCTTATAGAACTTAGTTTCCAAAATGCTGGACGCTGTCTCTCTTAATGCAGCCTATTTCCATTCTTTTAGTAGATGCATCACACTGCTGGCTTATATTCAGGTTATCCATTGAAGCAGTTGGATTCTTTTAGCATTTTCTGCTGCCAAGTCAGATCAGTCCCGTCTATATCTATACCAGAGTTGCAAGACCTTAATTTATCTTAGTTGACTTCCCTTGG